GGTACTTGCACGCTTGTTAAAAATAAGTTCCAAGTTCATATAACTAAAATATTATTATAGTACATGTTACATATACACAATGTTACATATACAAGCCTCGTAGCTTACCATGGAACTAGATGGCCCTGTGTGTTAATGTCCCAACATTTAATATGATGCATAGTCATTGAAGACGGAACTAAATTCGACACAGATTCTATTAAACCAGGCCACCAAGTTCATTAGTGAAGTCTAGACAGAGAGTCTTGCTTGGAGCCTCTACTATAATTTCGTATTCGATACTCGCTAACGAATGCGTAATAAAGTTGTATTCATGGAGTATAGTATAGTAACAACAGCTGTTTGATAGCTGTAGATTTTATGGGTTTGACAAAGCGTATGTACGGAAACTCATAATAATACTGCAAAGTGAAATTAAGACCGTTAAAACTTAAACGCAGAAGCTGTTATAATATTTATTATCTATTGAAATAAATAAATTGAAGTCTTGCTGTTTGTAATGTCAAAATAACAGCTTTTTACTAAATAAATATCAAAGCATATACGGTACTTAGAAGAAAAAACACTTTTTTATTTAATTTTGGTCTGTCTTTTTGTCTGTCTGTTTGTTCCGTCTAATCTCCGAAACTGATAGCTGATGTTTTAAGGAGTAACTTGGATAACTTTTATTTTAGAAAAAGAATGCACCCGAGCGAAGCTAGGGTAAGTCGCTAGTATTATTAGAAAGATCACCTTTTATATTTTTATGGGCACAGTTATGGTATCAATTTAAAACTTCCTATGTATCTGATATCTTCGGGATTTCACATACTTAGAAAATCGATGATTGAATTAAAATTTACAACAGTTCAAACCATGGAGCTGACATAACGATGAAGTCTGGAGGTAGCAAACGGAACTTCAATGACTCGATTTCGGGCTCATTTGATTATATTTATGTTTTATTCTCTCCAAAGTCAAGTAACAAAATTACTTTATTTCATTATAGCCTTACATATAGTCCATTACAGTCTTTCATTTATATATATATAATTTAATTATTTAAATTGAGTTTCAGTGAATTTTTGTTAATGACTTCTAAGCGTTCTTCTAAGCACAGATAAATGATAATATACAAGTACATTCGCTTGGTAAGGGTCGGTCTAGACGAAATGTCTAATGGGAAAGTAAGATTACAGCTTATTCTGGGTTTCACGTATTAAAGCCAAGTCGGTTTATGGTCTAGAAATGATTTAGATGTCTTAAATGTTTTCCCAAAGGTTTGTTTTAAATTGAAGCTTTAAGTTAGTTTGATTGTTGATAGCTATACGTTATATTTGAATGTTTATTTATTTATTTGGATAAGCACACTTACAACATACATACACAGCATTTGTATATTAATTAACAACAATAATAATATAACTTATATGTATGTCAATTACTAGTGTACGTAGCATTTCCACATTCAATGATTAAAAGCACAAAAAATCATAACATGTATGTTACATCATATAATCATATCATGAATGTTAGGTATGTACGTATTCTATTTTTTTGGGTTTCGTAGCCAAATGGATAAAACGAACATAAAATCACATTCATAAAATCACATAAAAAATGTTAATTGAAAACAAGCTTTAAAGCAATCAAATAGAAACGTTGCATTCAATTGTGCTAAGGTATTATATACAAACTGAATGAATACACCCGGATGATCTACAATGCAATTATTCTCAGGACCGCGTGTTATATGTACTGCATCGGCCTTCTATTTTATTTTTGCGTTTGTTTTATTGGTACGATGAACTATTTCTTTTATCTATACTAATATTATAAAGAGGTAAAGTTTGTGAGTTTGTGATGTTGTAGGAGGTAATCTCTGGATCTACTGAATCGATTTAGATGAAATTTGGTAAGAAGATAGTTTGAGACCCTGGGAAGGACATAGAATACTTTTTATCCCGGAAATCGTCCCGCAAGGGTGTAAATATGGGGATGAAAGTTTGTATTGGGACGCAAAGTAGGTACAATATATAGTAGGTAATTGTTTTCGTGGAGAACTAGTTTTTGCCCGCGGCTCTGCTCGCATTTATTGCGAGTAGATATAAATGATAGTTTATATAAGTTTCAATGATGCAATCTATGACCTTGCCTTATCTAAATGCGTTGAACAGATAAAGCTTGGAAAGGAGAAAGAAAGTATATAGATAAATTTTAAAACAGGATGATTTGAACCCAAAAGAATTTCAAAAACTGTTATTGCTAGATTTAAAAAAATACTAAAGAACGTTACAAACGTTGATTATATGAACTTTATATAATAAATAATTTTGTAGAAGTTAAAACTACCTTAGAATGATGTGATCCCAGTGATCGCCTCCAGGCTTTTTTAGTGTTCAAAAATATATTTATAATTTTCTAAAAATAACCAGATATAAAGTAATATGTTTAGTTCTGCTGAGTTTTTTTATCCAGTTCTTCGAAGACTAAGATGTTCTTTAAGAAAAAATATAAAAATTAATTATTGAATATTTTCTTGAATTGAATTGAATAGAAGAAAGGTTAGCTAGCTCTTTCACATACATTAGATCACGAATTTGATTTTTACAAACCATGTTTTTAGTCCATAAAATAAATATACTCGTAACTCACCATTCTCATTAAGAGTGTGATCAAAAAAGTTATTATTTTATTTCTAGCAATATTAAATTTTTCAATTTTTCGTCAAAATTTTAATATTTTTGTGTAAAATTTACGAACAACTCATTTAACGTAGAAACGTGACACTAAATTATCTCATAATGAAACAATGCAGAAATCTTGAGAATGTCACCCAGATATTTTATAACACTTTACTGTTAGGGGTATAACGATGTTTTCTAAGAAGATAAAAAGGAATTACTTAAAAGCGTTGTGCAATGCCGGCTTTATAATTTAATTGTCTTGGACACCTTGCTGTCTGTTGGTTAATATTGCTGTTAAGAAATGTTTATTATTTGTTGAACAAGTTGTTTTTGTTAGCTTCTATTCAATTTGCATTATTTCTCTGACGCTTTCATAATTTAAATCTATTTTACACTTGTACTAATTTAAAAGGACTTTTGTTGTTGCAGTATTAGTTTAGTTTTAATCCATAAGTTGATTTTTGTGTTTTTATTCAACGGTCACCTCGGAGAGCACGTAAAGCCCTTGGTCCTGCGCCTTAACTCTCACCGGTCGTATCGAAGTATTGTCCCATCGGACTTTGAGAGTGACAGGAATAGAGAGTGCACTTGTGTCTGTGCGTACACTTGTGCACTATAATATATTTTGCGCATCTGGCTAGTCTCAGTGAGATTTGTCGCCGTGACCGAAATCGGTCAGTAGGTCATTATTATTATTTATTATACCATCGCCTTAGTGCTTAATTGTTTAAACTATCAATACTTGTACTTTACCGTAGAGACCTTTTTTCTCTTTCTCTATTTTAAAAATAAAGCTTTACTTTTAAGATTTTTATACATATTTACAAATTATAGTAAGTAAAATGTGTATTTATTACCGATAGAGTTGACATTTAAAAGTTAATAATACTGTAATAAAAACTCTTTCGGTAATGTGGTCGTTTGGAAAAATAAGCACTGAATCGACGATATGCTCGTAAGTAAGGATTTATAATTCAATAGTTAAGTTGTTCGAAATTAGTAGTAAAATATAAACTCAATATTGTATAAAGTAAAGTATAATTATAATTATTTTTAATGCTTATGTACAATTTATTTATAATAAAGAAAATTACAAATATACTTAACTATATATAAAAAACAAATGTAGACTTATTTATTACTGTACAAGTCATGTCCACGTGGAATAGTGTCAAGAATGCTATCCGCATTCCCCCGTTGAATGGCAATGCCGATTCTTTGGGCGAAAAATGCGCCAGCCCTTCTGTCACCAGTAGAGATGATAAGACGTGTTATGTCTTTAAAGAAGAGCTTCGCACTTTGACTCCATGTGCCAAGGGTTTCTACAGCAAAATTTAATTTAATTCATTATAAATTAAAAATTTTAAAAACCCCTTGCGCAAATTAATTGTCATTTAACGATTAAACTGGCACACGTGAAGCACTTAATCGAGTAATCATACGTCAAAATGCCTTACATCATTTTCTGAAAGAACTGATACTCTTACACTGCTGGACCGATATTAACCAAACATGGCTAAGAACCACCACAAGGAATCTGGCTTTCAAATGAATTAAACGCATCGAAATCAGTCCATCCGTTTGAGAGCTACGATGCCACAGACAGAAACACACACACACACACACACACACACACATACTGACATCGATGTCAAACTTATAACACCCCTCTTTTTGCGTCGGGGGTTAAAAAATAAAGCCAAGAATAAAATTGCTTCTATATTAAGCTACAAAGTTATTCCATACAGGCATCGACATGATATATTACGTACTTGTAAAGGCTTCCACATCTTTACAACTGCATATTATGTTAAATCAAATAAAATATCCATGGTCGTAGAATAATTTAAATATGAAATTTCAACAACGTATATTAACTCATAATATTAAATGAGCAATTCTTGTATATATGTATATATAAATTTATTTCCTGTATCTCAAAAAAGGCTCTAACGATTTGGAGCAAATTTTGTATTTAAATAAAGTTTTATTTTTAAGCTTATCTATATAGTGTCTTTTCTGAAAAAAAAATGCAATTTTTATATCTTTGTCGAAAAACTTCGAACGAAACTTGGTCGCTCAGGTACTATAAATAAACCTGCAAACAATCGAAATACAGATAAATGATAATTTTAAACACAGTGTCATTAAACTGAAAAAATATAGTTTAATATTCAAGAAGTTTCTACAACTTGAACTAAAGTAGAATTCGATTCCAGAGGGAGATGTATGAATAGGTACAACCGCGAACTGTCGAAGTTCTATGGAACTTCAGTTCCGACTGAAGCGAAACACGGCTACCACGGAATATACAGAGTGGAAAGTTATTATTAGATGTCTTTTAGTACTAACAAAAAAGTTCCTTTGAGCTTGAGATTTAATCTTTTGATTACTGTTTTAGAACTCATTCAAAGGTATAAAGACCGTCTGATGTGGTGTGGTGTAGTGTGGCGGCACTATATGCTATAACGTAGGATATAAGTTCAGTTCTTGTTTATTGGTAGAATTTTGCTTTGATCTCGTTATTAGGACAAAATATACGTTTTATACTGTTTTCTAACACTATTCTGTAGAGTTAATAAATACAAGGTATCTCACCTTATATTTATTACTATTAACTTCTTCATGATACATATATATGTATATATTTCGCCAGAATTACAGATTTGATTGCCTCAAAGTATGAGCCGGTTTTTTTTAACGTTGGGAAATGCATTTACGCACGAGGTGTGGGACTCACCGGCAAAGCCAGTACAACCCACTAAAACCCAACAAAGCCTTCCCCCGTTTTAATGGGGCGTCGCAGGATCGCTTACACATTCAACTACGACACCCCAACGGCAGGTCTGCCGAAGCAGACCACAACAACCATGGGGTTGCTCCAAGGTCCACTCTGCTATCAGAGAAGTACCAGGAGCAACCCGCATGGTACACCGCCCTCCGAAGAGGGTCGCCTTCCACCGCCCACCGAAGTGGGCCACCTCCCTGTGCGTTTCTTGGCTACGCACCCGGCTGTATTGCCGGGCACTACTGAGCCCCCCCCCACCACGACAAGGTGAACGCACGTTAGGGGGGATATGTATATACTTACTTAACTATATAAAAATCTGTATCCGCATTTTTATTATTGGTAATACTGAAGCTCGTTATTAGATACTAAACAAAAAACGGTTGACAAACAGATGAGAAAGAAAGAAGAGAGAAAGAAGAGAAAGAAAAAAAGGTTTTGTCGTTGCATCTTTATATTATATAGATATTTATATCAATTTAATTAAGTTAAAACGCGGTAATGGGAAATTTTTATTTGTGGCAATTGAAAAATACAAAAAACGCAAAATTAATAGGTATGTTCCGTTTGTTTTGACAATAAATATTACGGTAAATTTTAATAATATCGTACAACATATTAATATGGCTCGCTATTTTCTAAATTATATTAGATATCAGTTGTATACTAGAGTTACTGTTTTAGTTGGTTCTAGTTAATTTACGACCTCAAAGTAAGCGCTAATTGAATTGCAAGGTCAGTCGTGACAGCTTTTGGTCATTCTTTCAGCTTGGAAATTATATCACAGTATCTGTTGCGGGAATGTAATTCGTATTAGTATTTTTTATCCAACTGCGGCAAAGCCTGAAAGGGGGGTCTTGTATTTGTATGTATGTCTGACCCTATGTTCCCTCGTAATTACTAAACAGTTTGACCGATTTTGATTTATTACGTCATTCCATTTATATTAATCACGCAAGCATCATAATGGTATTCTAAATTATAAAAGAAATCTAAATGTCTGATTTTAAGCGTCGATATGGGCGTCGTGTTTTTTTTTAGTTTTAATGTAATAATTTCAAGATTTCGAAAAAAAATATAGAAAATAAAACAGGTATTATATAATTTATAAGCGAATAAGTGTTACTTTTGCATTATTTTATGCAGTGACAAAAAGACACGTCGTCCTATGCAAAGGAAACGTTTATTGGAAAAGTATCGATAAAGTAGATTCGATATGTACGAATTGCAAGATTTCTTGGTTTTCTCTAATTATAACGTATAAATACAATGTTTGTTCGAGATATTTTATTTTTACAATAGATTCTATAGATTAGGTTGATAAAATAGTGAAATTATACTTCTTTGTATGTAAAGCTGGTTCGATTACCGGCTCAGGTAAGCATTTTTATTTAAACCTACTTATGAATATTTTTTAAAATAAAAGAAAGTTTCCTTCGAATGAAACGTGATTTTTGACGATATTTTCCAAATTTAAGGTACTTTTCCATGTCACTGCACGATTTATTTGGTAAATGTAGCTGAATCCTGATGTTTTTCTTCCATCTAAAACATTGCTTGTCTAAATATTTATATGTAAATCTCTTCCCTAAACGTATTTCTAAGTCCCTCAAGATGTGTCCTTAATCTAAGTTGAAAATACTTTGCAGATCCCAAAAAAAACGATTACAAACTTTTATTCAGATTTATTGGATTTCTTCATTATATTTCTTTTTATATAAATTATGAAAATATTTGATAACATTCGAGCAATGACTTTTTCATGGCGATGAAGGAGACTGAAATAGAAATACTTGTTATTTTGATACTAGTGAATTACCCTTCGCTTGGTTTAGGTGCCTTTTTATTTATTAAATTAAATATAAAATTAAAAGTGTTTAAATAAATATTGAACTATAATACATGGATGTTTTATTCTTAAACTGCACCAGCTTCTTTGCCGTAAATCTTGCTTTTCTTAGTTTTCACGTCAGTTTGTGTCCACCTAAAGATGGATGTTAGAATACGTTCAAATATATTGCGCTGTCAACACTTGATAGGAAAAGGAGAGAAGATAAATTGCGTCCTTGTCCCACCAGATAGATAGCGTAATCGCTTTTGAGCTGAAACGATGTTATATTATAAAATCGTTTAAAAGAAAAATAGCTTTCTTATTTTCTAAGTCAAGGTATTTATAAAGGAAGTAACTAGAAAATATGTAGTTTATTATTGATTGAATGTTCTTTTAGGTGATTTTTTTTTCATATTTTGATTAAGATTTGCTTTAATCAGAATCCTATATTTAAATGTAAGTAGGGCAGGGGTAGCTCAGTGGTAACACGCTCGCTTGAGAAACTGAGTGAAGCGGGTTCAAATCCTGGGTCTCACACAACTAATATTTTCATGTGTGTAATATTTTCAACATGATGATACCACTTATCTCATGATGAACGAAAATATTGTGAGGAAAGCTGCATGTCTAAGAGAACCTAGCAAGATTTCGAAAAACATGTGAAGTCCGCCGACTTGACACTTGGCCAGCGTAGACTATGGCCTGATCCCACTGTTCTTAAAGGGAGACCCGTGCCCAGCAGTGGGACGTTAAAAAGGGCTGCATATATTTAAAAAAAATCCTTTTATATATTTGACTTCAATATATTTTTTTAATTTTTTTGTGTTCATCTCTAATTAGTTTAACCTTGCTTCAAAGAGTTTGGATATAAATTCAATAAAAACACAGTTGGAAAAATATTTAATTTGTACTTCAAAGGAAGGAAAACATGATGAAAAACATTTGTTATTTTTTATGTAAAGAAAATGAATTCTATAATTTTTCAATGATAAAGGACTCTTTAATTAACCCTGTTCAATATAAAAATGCTAAAATAAGTCATTTTTCTTTATTGACTTCATATATTTTCACGTCTTCATCTATACTAATATTATAAAGAGGTAAAGTTTGTGATCTTGTGAGTTTGTGAGTTTGTGAGTTTGTGACGTTGTAGGGGGTAATCTCTGGATCTACTGAACCGATTTTCAAAATTCTTTTACCAATAGAAAGCCACGTTCTTTCTGAGTGTCATATGCTATATATTAATCCGAAAAATGAAAAGGTTTTTTCGTGGTAGTCGCATTTGCAAAGTAAGTCGGAGAAAAAACGGTCGAACGAAAACGTTTCTTACGAACGCTGCCTTAACGATGAAAGATATATGATTATGTTCTAGAGAAAAGTTGTAGAACTTAATAATGCCTACAAAAAAGTCAGCGACAGCATATGTCTAACTTTTATATTTAAGTCACAAAAAGTAGTTTTTTATATTAAAAAAATAATTTAAATCGGTAGGTCATTTTTATTGGTCATATTATCAACAGTTATGAATTCTTATCAAAATAAGTAAATTTATCGTCTAAAATGTTTAAAATAACAGACTTTTCCCTTTTACTGCATATAATTTGGACAAATGGTTAAAGAGACTATACAACATATTCGTATGTATAGACGAACCCGAGCGAGCTGTTTATCTGTTTTTCTCTTTGTACGGGCTAATCTCCGGATCTATTGGACCTATTTAAATGAAATTTTGCATGGTGGTACCTTATGTGCCCGGGCAACATCTTAGATACTTTTCATCCTGGAAGATTAAAGGGTTCCCTTGGGATAGTTAAAAAACTATAACAACTTATACATCTTAGTACACAAAAACTACTGATTGGATTTTAATGAAACTTTACAATAATATAGTTCATACATGCCAAAAACAAATCAACTACTTTTCATCCCGGAAAATTAAAGAGTTTCCGTGGGATAGTCAAAAAACTTTAGTAACTTCTACAGCTTAGTACACAAAAACCACTGATTGCATTTTGATGAAACTTTACAATAATATAGTTCATACATCAGAATAACAAATAGGTAACTTTTTATCCCGGAAAAATGTACTTTTCCCGTGGGATAGATGTTTTTGTTTATTTGTAACGTATTATGTACACAACATAGACCCCAAAACAATAGTTATTAAAAAAATTGTCTGTTTGTCTATTTGCCTGTATGTCTGTCTGTTTTTGTGTGCGCGTTTCACGCGAAAAGTAATGTACCAATTTCAACGAAATTTGGTGAAGTGATAACTTATTACTCGAGTCAACATTTAGGGTACCTTTTGTATGTATGTATGTATGTATGTATGTTGTATTCAGCCCTTTTTAACACACGCACGGGCCTCCCTTCAGTACGAGGTGGATCAGGCCATAGTCCACCACGCTGGCCAATATCAGAGGTGCTAGACCCGGGATTTGAACTTGCTTCACTCGGTTTCCCAAGCGAGCGCGTTACCATTGGAATACCACTACCTAGATACGTTTTACTTAAAGAAAATCTTTCTTTCCCACGGGAAAATACAATAATTGGTTCTATCGAATTGTCCTTAGAAATTTATACGGCTAACGTTGGCTCAACCTTAAGAGATAGATCAAAACATTGTACAAGGAAATTGTAAGTCTTAAAAAGGTCTATAGAAAAGTTCTACATAGTATATGTCTATCTCCTAAGGTACACTCGCTATAACTATTTTCATTATTATATATTTCTGTTTTATTATACGTTATTTATTCTATCTGAGTATAGGTACATAATATATGAATAATAAAACTGTAGAGGTTGAATGTCTGTACATAGATGGTAGAAAAAATTGCTAAAAAACGAGTCAGTTCTCTTCTTACATCCCGTAAGGAAAGAAATAGAACAAATCCAGATTTTTTCAATTTTTTTGTTTCTCTGTCTGTTTGTCTGTTCGTACGGGCTAATCTCCGATACTATTGAACCTATTTAAATGAAATTCGACACTTTTCATTCCGGAAAATTAAAGAGTTCCCGTGGGATAGTTAAAAATTTATAGTAACTAATACAGCTCAGTACACAACAACTTATGCACCTAATTTAGTAAAATTTGGCATGCTGATACCTTATATTGCAGGTCAAACAACAGGTTACTTATTTTTATCCCGTAAAAATGAACGGTTCCCGTGGGATAGATCTGTTTGTGCTTTTCTAGAGGTGAACCCGAGCGAAGCGAGGGTGAGCCGCTAGTCAATTATAATGAGAAGCATGCACATATCGTATGATAGCGGCCATAGATGTTATTGTATCGACTTATTGTTTTGCGTAGGATACCTGAATATACTCGTATGTATATACTAGCAGAACCCGCGGCTACGATCGCGTTCAATCTACAAAAAAAAAACTCTGGCTTTATGTTATACAGCGACTCACCCTCGTCTCGCTCGGCTTTGTCGCTATATTTTTATATAATGTTGTTCATACAACAATACTAAAATCGCGATTTGAAAATAGGGGGTGGGGGTTGGAGGGTGAAAAATACTTTACGACCTATTTTCATACCTACCAAATATACAAAAAAATATTAAAATCGGTCAAGTTTTTAAGGAGTTCAACCACAAACACAGTGACACGAGATTTTTATATATTACATGACGATTAACTGATTTTACTTCAGTCATTTTTGTACTTTAATTATCTGTTGAGACCAAAGCGATGCGACGAACGACGTAAATAGCTAATAACTTTTTAAATAAAGGCTACTTGAAAATCTATTTTAATGTAATTATTTCATGAATATAGATATTTTCTCGATATTACGTTAAAAAGTCCTTAAAACCATATTCGTCCACGTCACTTTTTGTGTATTTTTTTTAATAATTTATTTGTGCAATATATATTTTTATCTATAATATTAGTTCAAAATTGACGAAGATAATATCGCGTAGAAACACAAGTTAAAACACGTAAAAAAGTCGGTTAAAATGAACACGATTCTTTAAAAATTATTTTATATTGTTCACAGATATAATTCAAAGTTGTCTACACTGGCTCTACCGTCAGTCATCTTCGAGCCTAAGTTTAAGGGATCTGTACGTAACCTCGTGTACTCGGATTTGCCTGGACAACCTCCGCGAAGACAAGAACTGCGACACTCGCGAGATTTAAAGGTAAGATATTCATGATATTTGACTTAATTTGCAGTAATGAATGAATGCCCTTAGCGGGACTCGAACCTGCGACCGTTGGCACAGCAAGTAGAGGTTACAAACTGAGCCAAACGTGTCGCCGTTATGTTACGCCATATAACAAGCTAGACTATTACAGATAAAACAATGAGGTAGTCAGTGAATACGTAGAACGAGATCGCTTACAAGTACTTTATTAAAATAACGCTGAAAGGAGAATATAAAATTCCAAAGAATGAGTTACATATTAAGAACATCTCAACGCTTTCCTTTTGTTGAGGTAAAGTGAACTCTTTTTCCTTAAAATATAGTTCATTTTACAATGCATTTTCAATTTAAAGAACTAACAAAGAACGTTTCGTTCTAATTCAGTCCCAGTCAAAGGCAGAAGCGAGCTTTAAAGGTTTAATCCACCAAACAAATGTCACCGTTCTTCCATAAAATCTTGGAATTTCCTCTTTATCATTTTATGGTTTTCTTAGAAATCGCTAATTATATATTTTTACTTTAGCAACGGGAAAATTTCAAAAAGGAGGCTTACGTATAACTTTTGTATGTATATTATAACATACTAGCGACTAACCCTCGTTTCGCTTGGGTTCATCGCTAGTGAAAAAAAAAGTAAAACTATCCCACAAGAACTATACGCTTTTCCGGGATAAACAGTAGTAGTAGTAGCCTATATGCTATTCTAGACTATAATCTATATCTGTGCCAAATTTCATCCAGATCCGTTTGGCCGTTCTGGTGTGATTGAGTAACAAACATTCATACATTCAAACTTTCGCATTTATAATATAGTAGTAAGATATTTTAATAGCAATTTTGGGTACAATATAATTATTTTCTTTAGTGAATTTTCGTTAGGACATACAGCGAAGTTATAGATTCCACGAAAGTAAACCAAATCGATGGAAAACATCTACGCGACATGATCTGCCAACGTGAAGTGAGTCAGATTAATTACAAAAGAGCATCTCACAATCTCTTAATTGCCTTTACGTTTCAGTAACTCTCATAATATTACATGAACACTCCGTTATCTCGCTTTCATATTAATTATAATGTTTAATTAAATTTAAGCATGCCGCGGTGGACTGCATCTGCCGTTTGGTAACTTAGCAAGATTGATTTACGAGAAATATATTGCTAATAATGGATGGATGTTTGTTACTCTTTCACGCAAAAACTACTGAACAGATTTTGATGAAACTTTACAGTAATATTGTTTGTATGTTAGAGTACCACATAGGCTATAATTTTTAAAGGTATAGAGATACATAATCGAACTACGCGTGCGGATTTTTTTAAGAAATTATCAATAGCAGTGCGGAATTGGAAAGTAGATGGTGCTACAAGCCCAAGGGTCGGTAAACTCGTAAAACCGCCGGTACTGCACCCTATCTTTTACCGATCATGTCGATTGGTCGCGCCCTTTGAGAGTAAAAGGAATGGAGACTGCACAGGTATAGTAAATACACTTACTGTGTACACATACTATATTAAGTGTTTTCTGAGCATTTAGTTGCCGAACTCGGTTAGAGGAATTTTATTATTTATCCATTACTACAATAGGTATATATAGACTATTATTAGGAAAGTATTATCCAAATCGGTCCACGTTTCTTAAAAATATGGAAAAGAAATTTAACCCTTATAAACACATTCTAATTTGTAGAGTAAGTCAACAAAGTCTCAACGTTTTACATGAAAATACCCACTGCTATAAAATAAATGCTATAAAATTCTAAAATAAAACTAGACATTTAAAATGTTACCTGTCTGGTCAGATTACAAGTGGGAAGGTCGCGTGTATCTATAGCCGCGTTATTTCGGAGGCTGTAGCGCTGAAAGGTTATTCCATTTATTTTTCTATCTGACCTATTTAGCTCGGCGACGGCGATATATTATAACTATAACGGTTAGTGATTTGAGAAACGATAATCTATACTAATATTATAAGGAGAAATGATTTTTTTGTTTGTTTGTACCGAATAAGCTTCGAAACTACTAAACTGATTTAGATGAAATTTAATAAAAAGATAGTTCAAGACCCTGGAAAGGACATAGGATAGTTTTTTATGTATATTCTTTATTGCACTTAAAATATGATACAGAAAAAAATAACACAAATAAACATAGTTCACAAAGGTGGACTTATCTCTAAAAGAGATCTCTTCCAGTCAACCCCTGGGTGTGGAAGAAGATGTCAGCGGGCAATATAGTGCAAAAAAATATACTAAATATATACTAGAAATAAAGGTAATAATAATCACATAAACATACATACATATATTACTCCGGTAATCATCCCTTAAGGGGGTGATAATTGGAATGAAAGTTATATAAAGATTTTAAAATCTTTACCCACTAACTGCCTTTGCTTAGTTGAAAACTTTAAAAGTTGTGCTAATTTAAAAAATAACAGAACATGACATTCTTTAATCATTCAGTGCTTGTGATAAATGTTTGTCTCGGAAACCGTTTCATATAATAGAGATTTATTTTGTCGTAGACATAGAAGAAATTTGCTTTATAGCTGTATAAAGCAAATTTTAAATTAAATATTGTTGTTTTGACGACACGTTTGGCTCAGTTATAGTAATCTTACATGCAGTGCCAGCGGTCGTGTGTTCGAGTCCCGCTGCAGGTAATCGTTTGTGTAATGAGCACGAACGTTTTTACTCCAGTCATGTATACATGTATGTATTAAAAGTTATTAAACTATCTGGTATCCATAACACAAGCTTTGTGCTTACCATGGAACTAGATGGTGCTGTGTTAATGTCCCAACATATTTATTTATTGTGTTCATTTTCGAGTCAAATTTTATGGTATGCATTTGGTGGAAAATATTATTATATACTTTGTATATTATTAGTATTGTACTTATGTTTTCTCCCATACGTATGTACATGTCTTTGAGAAATAAATTAATATTAATATTATTATTATTGTAATTCATTGGTAAGATGTTCTTTTGAAAATCAAGTGAAGTGGATTCAAGTCTGGATCTAGCTTCTTAGATTTTCATATAATTAATCCTATCATGATTCATCACTTGTTTTAATGTTTGAAAAAAGCATCGACTAAATATACCGAGAAACAAACAAACAGTAGATAACTGTAAAATTATTTATTTTAGCTATTATAATATGAACAAGGTATCAAGCTTTGTTACAATTTGATCAAGTGTCTAGAAAAATACTTCAAAATAAAGTCGTTGCAGATTTTTAATATATGTAGATAAAATTTAGGGATCATAGATCAAGTAGCTGTCGTAAAGTGGCGTGTTTATGCGATAGCCAGATAACATGTGGTTTGATATATGGGGCTATATATCTGCTTATCTTGTTCTTGGAGACAATAAACTTGCCACGGTTGTGTTCAAACGTGTAGATTAAAAATGTTGTGCGATACCAGCATTTTTAACGTACGTTCATACGGTCTTGTGTATGTATTTTTAATTGTATAGTGAACTAGCGACTCACCTTCGTTTAGCTCGGGTTTGTCCCTAGGTTGCTTGCCCATACAGACTTTCATCCCCATTTTCACCCCTTCAAAGGATGATTACCGGGATAAAACTATCATGTCCTTTTGCAGGATCTTAAATTATGTTATTACCAAATTTCATCTAAATCGGATCAGTAGTTTCGGAGCCTATTCGATACAAACGAACAAATAAAAAAACTTCCTCTTTATTATATTAGAATAGATTAAAGAAAGGATACATTTCTATAAATAAAATTTATTTAATTCTTCATTAGATTTACGGGAATATTTGACATTTTAAGTATTTTTCGGATTTTTCGCGGTTTTATTTTACTTTTTGTTCCGAATGAACGAAACCCATAACCACCGCCCCAAGAGTTAAGTATCGATACTACAGTGCTCTGTGGAACAACTATAGGAAACTTAATAGAATAAGCACTATACTCGCTGCTAGATTTTCGCTATTGCCTCGTAATTTTATTTTTAGTTCGAATCAAATCGTTTTGTAAGCTTTTGATAGTGAATTAATAGTTTATAACCGTTGATCGATTTGATATATATAATAAATTAAATAGATTATTTTTATTAAATGCGAATTATTTATTTAGTTCTTCATTTAGAAATACTAGATACTTCTACGTATATGTAATAGTACTTCCGGGTTGCAATACGTATAAAATGTAGTTTTATATTGGACTAGAAAGACATTTAAATATATTTGTTTGTGTCCAAGTTTAAATTCAAGATCTGAGATTCTGCATCAACTTGATTCTTATTCAACAACAGATCTTATAAAAGGAAGTTTCATAAATCCCGGGACAGTTCGGGCGGTTTTATGTTCCTACTAACAAATTGTGTTTCCGACCGCTGATTCATTATAATTTTATAAAAGCTTGTAAAAGTTAAATTTGACGCCAAGCTTGCAACAGTATGAGATGTTAAAATAAAATAAGAATAGCTTCTTGAAAGAAAATGTCGTTTTAACATACCCTTATTTCCGCTTAAAGTGACTTATTACGTTTTTGTACCGTATGAATCTTAGCTTAGACTATAGATTACTAGCGACTTACCCTCGCTCCGCTCAGGTTTTAAAGATTTCTCAGAAATAAGATATTTTCCCGCAGTAAAAAGTATTCTATATGTTGACTCGGATAACCAGCTATTATCATACCAAATTTTATCAAAATTTGTCCTGTCGTTTTCTCGTGATGCGTTCCCAGACAGACAAAAAAGCTATAGATTCGGCCTTTGTATCGATAATAATGACTATTTCAATAAGATTTTCTAAAAAAATACTTAATGTACAGATTCGACTCAGAATTTTATTATATGTATAGAATAGAGACTTTTTAATGCAAAAGTTTATATTTGTGTGCATGTACATAATATGTGTATATGTGTGTATGTTTATAACTCTTTCACGATGAAAAAGTTGTACGAATTTGAATAAAATTTAGTACATAGATAGACTGACCTGGACCATAGCCTAG